ATTTTTAACCAAGCATAGCCCAATATTTTTTTCGGCCCTTTAAGCTCAATAAACTCAGCCCTCGTACTAGCAAAAATCCGGCCACTTTATGCTCCAAAAATTCGGCCACATTGCCAAAGTTTTGGCTCCCTTCTTGAATTCAAAATTCAAACCTTGTGAGGCCTTGTTTAGTAAGTTTTGCTCCCCTCAACACCTTTCTTGTTGGCCGGCCATTCAACCCTAATCAACCCATAATGTGCCGCCCAAATCCACCCCAAGTAAGAAAAGGCTTTATCTCATTTCCCTCCCCTAATTTATCCTCTTTTCTAAGCCAAGTGAAGATCATTTTTCTCCCATTATTTGGCCCTTTTGCAGCAGTAAAACATCTCCCTAAAACACTCTTTTTTTTCTTAAAAAGTCCCCAAAAATCCCTCTCAAAAGCCCTCCCTCTCGCCGTCATCAGAGCACCACGTGAGCCTCACCAAGAGCCCGTAGTCGCCGCGAGCGTCGTGCCAAGGAGGACCGCAAGTAGCAACTGGGAAAGCCAAGGATGCCATTGAAGACCACGGAAGCAACTGAGATACAAGGAGCCTTGCTGAGCAGAGCCAAGAGCGACTGAGAGGGCGCGAGCACCCGCACCCGAAAAGCCGACAACATCTCCGAGAAGCCTTGCCAAGGAGATCGTGACCGCACCGATCCTTTACAATCCAAAATCCAATCTCTCTCTTTTCATGTAGACTCCAGAAGAGAGGTATAAAATCCCAAAATCCTCTTCTTAGTGTTTAAAGTTTGTTTAAGAAAAGATGAGATTAATTTGCTTAAGGTGATGAAAATTGGTTGATGTGTTGGAACTCTCTTGCCATGTTATTTTAGCTTTAAATTCCTTAGATTTGATGCCTTATATGTTTAAAAATTTGAGCCTTTTAGCCTCAGAAAAATTGTGTTGTTGAATGCCTTGAAAATGCCTTAGAAAAATTGGTCTTTGTGTTGTTGCGTTGAGCCTTGAGTTTGAGCCAAAAAAACAGTTTATAGAACTTACTTTCGAGCCTTAAAAACCTAATCTAGAACTGGTCGTAAGTCGTCGTGCGTCGGGAGTTTTGTCGGCCCCGGATGTCGCACGTGTCTGGCACACAACAGCACATGGTCGCTGGCGTGCAGCGCAGTGTGTCGTGAGACAGCGCGCCAGTCGCCTCGCACGGTGGACAACTACCAGCGCACGCATGCGCGCGCGTCTCTGCTACTCCAAGACAGCGCGTAGCGTCCCAGCGCCCAGCATCCCATCCCAGCGGCGCAATGTGATTGCGATCACCCGTGCCAGCACGCACGACCCCAAACCTCAGCACTTTGTCCAGCGAGCGAGTGCGCGCGGAGCCAACCGTAGCACTGGGGGGGCACCGGGCCGCCTCGAGTAGGGGAGCGCCCCGGCAAACCTGCACCCTTTGTGCTCAGGCGAACAGTGGTAGCCGCGGTAGGCTGCACCAGCGCCCAGCCACACCGAACCAGCAGCGGTCAGGCCCAAGTCGCGCCCAGCTAGCCAAACCTAGCCAGCATCGAGTCGCGTGCCTTGGGCCTTTTCTAGTTTTGAACCTATTTTTATTGAGCCGAACATAAATTTTAGTCCCGAGATCCTTTTTCTGAGTTTTAAAATACCTTTAACCGAGAGTTCCAAAGTTAAGAAAATTTTCACTAAGTCAAGAACCTTATGCTAAGAAAATTTTTCAAGTTGGTAATTTATTTTACCAAGTTAAGTCATTTACCAAAGATATGCTTCTAAAAATGTAGATTTCGAGGAATCGAGCCCTTGAGCATCCCATTGAAGCATCCGCATATCATCATCATTCAAGTATAAGGTGGGGAAGTCTATGTTATGTTTTATTCGTTACAATTACTATGGTATTATAGTTGTTGTATGTTGCATGAGTATTCTCGCATGTGAGGGGAAAATTATGTATAATCCTGCCAGTAATTGGCAGCGCCTATGAGAGGCCAAGCTTTTATAACCCTGCCCGTGATGGGTAGCGCCTGTGAGAGGTAAAGCTTGTTATAACCCTGTCGTGATGGGTGGCGCTTGTTATAACCCTGTCTCCAGGTGTGCAGGTTGTTTTGCTCACCCCACACAATTATCATTTTCAGGTTGAGTAGTTGGTTGTGGACACGGGAATGTGGTGGTGGTCTATTATTGCTTTATGCTATGTGTTCTGTAAACTTTTACAAACTCATTGTTTATGTTTTCCTATGTTGAGATTGAAACTGTGTTTTTTCAATTAAGACTAAGTAGTTGAACGTTCTGCTTTGTCTTAAATTGTTTGAAAAGAATGTGAGAAATTGGGAAGTGATTTCTCTAAAGACCTAAGTATGAGACTTAGGTTAAGTTTTCAAAGATGAGTATTGGGAAGTGATTTCCCTAAAAACCTAAGTGTGATGCTTCGGTTAAGTTTTCAAAGAAAAGAAATGAAAGAAAGAAAGGTATTTGAGAAAGTAATAAAAATAAAAGGTTTTCAGCAGTGCCCAAGAAAAGTTTTATTTTGAAAGGAATTTGAAAAGTCCAAATTATTTTCGAAAATCTATTTTTTCCAAAGATAAGTAAGCGGGTGCTACAGTTGGCCCTATTCTATTTATACGAGTTCCATATTAACCAACTTCTTCCTAATTCTATTATAATACTGGTAGCTTTTGCGATACTTTCGTACTGTAGACTAGGCCTCGTCAACTACAAATTCTTTAGGTACTGCTACATAGCTAAGTTTGAGAAAGATAATATGTAAATAAAAGCTGGAGCTAATTTCATAAAGGACCTCCTATCGAACATTTTCTCTTGGAAAACATGATTTTTCTATGTCCGACTTGCCAATCCTTTCCCTTTTAATTCTATATGGTTAACCGACCTCCCAATTAGACTTAACCTCCACTAAAAAATATAGAAGAATGAACAATATTTGATTGAAAGACGAATATAGTAATTAACAGTTGTAACTCCCTAACATTAATGATAAAATTACATTAGTGACCTTAGAAATTAGCTATAATGTTGGGTAATTTTCAAGAAACTACTCTCCTTTTTAAAAGAGGTTTAGATAGATTAGATTAGTTGTTAGAATGCCAAGGTAGTTTGGTTCTAGAAACAACGTGCAGTATTTTGTTCCGGCGTCGGGCCTGCGATGCTCAAGTTAATATCACTCCAAAACTCCAAATCCCAAGAGTATAGTTATGAATGTAGAGAGAATGAGAGAATGTGTGAAAATGAGGTATACCTTGGCCCCCTTTTACAGGGAGAGTATACCTTAGGGCCTAAGTTGAACTTGGTCAATATCATCATGCAACGTGTCCTAGCTCATGTGTAGGCTTATTCTCTAATATATTTTCTTCTTATCCATTAAAGTCAGTCTGGTATAATATCCCATATCAGGAAAAACATTTCCAAATAACTTTCCTATTTATTTGCGACTAGATGTCTAAGCATTCTATTAGTTGCAACCATCTTCATGTTTTTAGTGCTTCTTTGGCATTCTTTGGTTCTACTAGAGAGGTGTAACATGCAAAGTGAGAAATTCTCATATGTTCTTTAATGTTAGTTTTTTAATTTCTTGTTACCGTCTCGTTCAAATCGTCAATAACCAAATCAGAAGGATGATCTTTCTGAATTCTCAAGGGGGAATCCCTTTTAAGTTCAATCTGATTTCCTGATGAAGTAGGTACATTATGGTCTGGCTAAAACTCCTGCGAATTACTCGTTTCAGAATTTTTTCTACAAGAACCAATGAATTTGAATGCAAAAGAACCAAAAGTTCAATGAATTATGGAAATTCCCACAATTGTGACATTCTGCCAGACTTTATTACAACCATTATAACTCTCCACATACTTCATATGTTTGTCTCCCGTTTTTTATTTTATTTTTTAATACTAGATCCCTTAGCTTTCTATATCATACATCTCCAAGTTCACATTCAATGAATGTATTTAATTCTGTAAAGTTTATGATCCACGAATTTTTATGTGTGACCTTTTTGGCAAGACTTTATTCAAACTATCAGAACTCTTTTCGTACTTAATATATTTTGCTTTTTTTTTTTTTATTT